AACGGATGCACATTACAGGACACGACCAAACCATCAAGCTCAGAGAACAAAACTTCATCAAAAAGTATAAACGTCACTTGAAGTTAATTTAAGTCACAATAGAAACTTGATTTATATTTGTTTTAATTCATATGAACACATGTGATTGTGATTGTGATAAATAAGATTAACAGACATTTTATTTACTGGTGATTATTTGAATTCAAACATATTGTAGTGAACAAGAACACAAGTAAGGACAATCGAATGTATTTGAATAAGAAATTACAGAATCTCTTAGTAAAATCTGAGAACCATACAATAAATAGTTCATTTGTAAAATGTCAATCAATTGTCTCAGACTTCGTTATTTTTTCGTTTCCATAGCAACCATTGACTGTTCTCGTTCTCTTTTCTTCGATCTTCTTAATCGTCTACCTCCAGGTATTTTAGTTTCGATTGATCATACATATTACTTAAATGTCTGTTAACATCAGTAGCACACATCACAGTATGATATACAAAATACCGATTCTCTGATATTAGATAGACAAAATAAGGATTGGTATCTCTGTTACATAACTAACCAGAAAATAATCTGAAATTGACCCTAAAATTCTTTTAGCGGACTTAAGGCAATGAGAATACAAACATGTTAATTTAGTAGCCTTTAGCTAAATTTACAATAAAATTAGAAAAGATATACAGTGTTTTTATTTGATTCTTCAGTCTTTTTTGGGGAAATGTTTTGGTATTCATTGGAGTACAAACTCTTTTTAATCTGAATAGTTCCTAAGATTAGAGGTGGTTTACAAACGATTGGTTAAGCGAATTTTTCGATATGCAGATGAAGGATCATTTAGGAATAATAATTAGGATGCCATATATATCATCTATCACACAAATATGGTTATTAAACCTTCGTGGACAAAATGGTCATCTGAAACAGTGAGTTGATAGCTTATAATTATATTTATAACATCATTATCCACCGGAATTAAGGGATATCAAGCGAATATAATCCTGCAGAATGAATAGTACATTGTAGAATTTACTTATAAGCATTTTTTTCGAAGCATCAACTGGTGTTCTAAAAACTCAAGAAGTTTTTGATGGAGTTTTGTTCTCTGAGCTGGATGGTTTGGTCGTGGAGCTTTCATCGTCCTTCTGAACGATGAAAGCTCCACGACCAAACCATCCAGCTCAGAGGACAAAACTCAATCAAAATCATCCACCTGAGCTACAAATCTTCTCCACCATCTCAAACTCAAGAAGTGTCTAGCATTATAAGTACTAAATATCAACTGATAAAAATTCTTTCATACATACTTATTACTTAAACATTACATGGTGAACCATTGAAATCAGTTAAAAGAATTTGTACAGAATAGATAGATTACGGTTAAGGATTGAAATTCAGAATATACGTTTCATCCTATTCTGAGCTCATCAACTGATTTGCCATGGTATTGATATCCAAATTGGAACTCAGACCAAGTAACTTTGGAATTGCAACAAAATTTCTACTGAGCTACTGAATCTATATAGCCACCAACGTGGTAAGTTGGTACAACGTTTATCTAATCGTTAATAAGGATTTGAATTATCCCGTAGATGACATTCATGACTAGACCTTCATCAATTTTTTATTGCCTAATTTACACCACTTGAAAATAGCTTTCATATTAATATTTTATAATACAATTTTCAAAATTGATAGATTGTAGCTGGTAGTAGAATTCACGACATGTGTTTCATCCTGTTTGTCACTCATTAGCATTCTGATAACAGCCGTACTACATACAATCAAATACTTTAGAATATCCGTTATTGAAAACATTCAACCGAAGTAGCAATTACATCTCACAACTCATAGTCTTAGCTTTAGTTTTGTTTGTATAGGTAAATTATGTTAAAAGATTTCAAGAAATTTTTAAAATCACTATTTCATTTAAATAAACTTTCATGCTACGAAATACTATCAATACAATTTCTTTTATGTTTAGGGCTGACTTAGACCAAAACGATATTGAAAGTTTATTGTTTTCGATCCATTATTTTTCTAGATGTGTTTGTTTTTGTTAAAAAAAACACAATAAACACTAATGGCTTTAATGGTTGAATTCATGAGTCAATTGAAGCTAAACTATCATAGAAAACCTAAGATCACTAGGCGTCTGGTTCGTCTTAGTATATGACTCCTCTGAAGTGCGCATCTACGATTCCGCCTGTGGGATTCGAACCCACTGCTGATGGGTCTCATACTAAGATGAAACAGTTGTCTAGTGATTCCAGGTTTTCCATGATGGTCTAGGTTTAATTGATTCATGAATTCAGTCATTAAATTACTATAAAATCCACAAAATCCTCTTACTAATAGATTTGTTTAAGTGAGAACATTCGTAAAACAAACAAATATCCACGGTTTACTCACGATCGACTTAGTAAACAAAATGATGATTAAACCTCAAGCCTATACATAGAAAACTATACGAGATGATTGTTTATTGTGTACATATTTTTGTTTCAAAAATATTTGAGTATTCCTTATATTCAGAGGACTGATGTTTATTAGGACCTCATGTACAGATGTATACTTTCAAACCAAGCAAATGATAAATATATCCATTTGGTTGACATAAGTTGAATCATTCAGTGATAATTAGATCAAATTATGAAGGAATATTCGAATTACTATGAATTTCATTCACTGTGTTCTGTTTTGTTGGATGACTGATTTATGCTAGTGTATTTTATAAGTCTGTGTAGTAATTTCGGGAACTCATAGCTTTCATTTGATTAGTCATATTAATGAATGTAAGACACTAAATCAAACAAATTGAGTAATAATATTGATTTCAATAGTTGAATTTGTAGCGTCGCGTTGAGTCGCAGTTGACTATGATCACCACTACAGGAAGGTTGCGTACCAAACATCAGAAGGCAACTGAAGGTTGTAGCTAAGTATATTTATTGGTGATCTCGTGGCATCGAAAGAATACCGAGATCGTACCAAAGGAGTACAAGCGGATTTACTGAGTAAACCTAAGTTCGTGCAAGATCACAACCAACGGAAGGAAGAATGAAAGAATAATGGATATCTTTAGTACAGTTAAACGAACAAGTACAGTAAAACAATCACTGGTACAATTCGTTATAATAATAATTGCTTCCATTAAACCAATCGCGTTCTCTTGATAAAAGTAGTTCACTACAAATTCATGAGTCAACTGAAGCTCGACCACCATGGAAAACCTGGAAGCACAGGACGGCCGTTTTGTTCTATTGTGGGACTTCTCAGTATATATATTAGGCTGAACCTATTAAGCTAGTTATCACTTACTCATTCAGTACTTATGAAAATTAGTAAGGTCTTTTTGAATAATTAGCAAACTATTTATTCCGGTGGATGACATGGTTACCTGAAAAAGTACTATTTTGGTTTCAGAATTATAAATCTAATAAGGGACATTTTAATTAGTTCATTTCTATTCAGATAAACACAAGTCTAGCAACAATATAAGATGATTAAATATAAATCATTCAAAATGTCTACGTAAAATGTATTACAGATTGACTTCAATTAGACAAATATTTGAAAACAAAGAGTATCATATGGCTAAACAGCTGAAACGGCATTTCTCTGTAACGAACAATAACTATTTAGTAAGAGATAAAGTTCAAAACTACTAAGTACGTTAGATTCGGACTATTAAATTGACATTAGATCTAATCAGTTTTCGTGTAGAGGCTTCCGGATATTTTTCTCTATATCATTTCATAATAGCGATTCTTTGAATTGATTCATGAAGTATTCGTTGGTATAAAAACATTGTTCTGTTTAACTACATTAATAATCATCATCATATACACATGATATAAATGACCTGGAAACAAATCCGTAATCTTCTTGAGTTCACCACATCTATCTAAGTCGTTTGTTTACTAAAAAAACAGTAAAACAATACTTATGTTCAATCAGATTACTTTGTCATTTGAGTCGAAGGTAGTTGGTATGAATGGATAAAACGGTAAGAAAGTAAAGATCTAATACATGTGTTAATTTTTCTCAGTATCATTTTGATTTAGCTACGTTTGTTTATTTTAATTAGCGATTACAAGTTGTTGGTAAGTAATTAAAGCTTAATAAACATTCACTAGGAGATCTAAAAGTCCTAGATTCAACCTCTAAATGAGTCATAGGTGTTCAATTCTGGTTAATCTTATACTAGAATTAAACAGCCGTTTATCATTCTGTGATCTTCAACGGGTACTTCAGTTGATATCGACCTTACAACTTACAAATTAAATCAATATACATGAAACCGTTCATAACTAAATGTTAATAGGATATGTTCACATTAATCAGTTCAAACAGGTGTATCCTATTACAACTGGATACTATTTAACTAGATATGTTGTGACGTTTATAAACTTTGGAAACAGTATTCATCTTGGACTGACTTCAGTATTTCATTACGTTAGCTATATACTTTTTAACCAAACATTAGTTCACTTAATGATTTATTCAATGATGTTTTGTTTTTTCTGAAATAGAAGTTAGTCATTTCTGTCCATCAACTACCTGAGTATTCATACTAGAAAGCATGAAACATTAACATTTTAATTGATTAAATATGTAAACTACATCTTGGACCCATTTTATAACTAATTAATAATTCATTCCTTGACATTTATACTATGACAGAAATTCATTTACTTTTACTACTAGAGATTTTTGAAAAGCTCCATTACCATAGTTTGTATCATGAACGGACATCATCTAGACCACCATTGAGAACACAGAAGCACTAGATAGGTGTTTCTTTTGAGTATAGGGCTCTTCATCATTGAGTACGAACCACCCGACTGCAAGAAATCGAACTAAAGAAGTACTGTATCGTATGTGAATGCCTAATCTCTTGACTATTACTATTAAATCTACTACTAATTAACTCATTTACATTTGATTCATTTCATTGTTTATTTATTTTAATTCTTATGTTTTAAAATGATAATAGAAATATTAAAGTTAATAGACAAGATCTACTTGATGATTCACCATGGCCTAAACTTGATGTTAAATTTACTGTCAAAGATGAAAATGGACAATCAGTACAAACAATATTAGAGTCAACACCAATCAGATTTGAAGCTGAATTGATTGATGAACTAAGTAAGTACAAATGAACTAAATATGTTGTTATATATGATGAACTATTGTTAGATAATCTTATCGTTGAATTTGTATGTCAATAACTATACTACATTATTATATCATCATGAATCTATTTACTTATGCATAGATAGTTAAAGTTTTCAAGAAGGACCTTAATGTAAAATATTTAGAATACTTATTCAGTTAGAAAGATCTCCGAATGGTTAATATGTTCCTTTTAAGAAACAAAACGTAAGTATGTAAGTCGTTTTTTAAAATGTGACTGTTCTAATCAACAATTGGTGCTGTTATTTCGCCTTAGATTTTAACTTTTAATATGATTTGATCCTATTTCTAAATTGACATTATTCGCTATAATTAAAGTACATTCTTCATGCAGAATAAATGGTATATATTTATATTGTATTATTGATGTTCACTTCAGAGCTCGAACCCAGTACCGTTCCCTTGAAACGTCACTTAGTGAATAATATGGTGGTATTTCAAGTGAACGATACTGAGCTCCAATCATGGAGTGAATATCACATTTGGGATGTAGTTATATTCAGTTAACAAGTTTCAAATAGGAGGAATGACATGTTCTGGATTCTACCGATAGCGAAATTCCATTTAATTTGATATCAATTTGTATTATATCAAAACAATCTACACAGGATTTAAATATGTCAACTAAAAGTGATAAAATTTTAATCATATATATTCACAACAGGATAATCTAAACTATTTACGTTTCATTTTCTTGTGTGTGTGTTTAGTTTTTCCATTATTGTCACTTCCTCTCTTTTATCTTTGATTTTGTTTTTGTACTTTTAAGAGTTTCGACGTTTCCATATTTATATCAGGTTTCAAGATGTTTGTAACTAACATAATGATCATTCGTTTTGTTATCCACCATGGATAGTATGTTTTTTTCGTCCAGTTCATGTTAATTCAAGGTGTAAACTGTAAGTAGAGATAAAAATTCTATATAACCTGTCAAGTGATTTCATAAATATATGTACTACGATAAAATTTGTTTAGATAGAAAGAAGATTCTTAAAATTCTCTGTCATTCATTCAGTAAAATACACACAAATTCACTGGGTGGTGATCAAGCAACTGTGATTAGATCTCAGTCCTACAGAAGGTCGGTCGCGGCCCAGATAGTTCAGTGGTAACGTCTCTGAGTGTGAAGCTGGATGACATGGGATCAAATCGGTTAGGGAGCACCAGTTCCCTTAAGATTACAGGTACACCTTGCTGACAAGTGCCAAGTGGCAAGAAACCCGGGTCCAGGGTTTCCTGTTAACTACCTACAACCACCAACTTCCACACAAGTTCAATTTGTAACGCTATATTAACACAATAAGATTAAATTATTAAGATAAATTCTACTTTAGTTGGATTTATCACAGTGTCAGTAGTAATAAACAAAAAGTTAGGGATGATAAATATGATTCGAGAAGAAAACACAGATTCCTGGAATAGAAAAAAAGACGTTGAGATAGAAACTTGGGATCTTAAGCAGCGCTAAGAATTATTTGACTTAGGTCGTCGTGAATGATTTTGGGTAATATCACTCAAAGCTTCTAACAATCAGTTACGACAACTCGAACGAGGCAAATTCTACCTGTTGATATTTAATTATCATTGGCATCATGAACTGGTGTGATATCTTGGCTTGGGCATTCCTAGCTTTCTGGTAGCCTATTCCAACATTAGACAACATCGCCCGTTGACTTTAATATTACTTATTTCTACAAGTACTGAGAATGGGAATGTTATGATTTGTTTGTTTACTGATATTGAATTAAAAAACCCGCATAGCTCTGGCTTCATTGAAATATCTTCAAACGAATAAATTGACAAAATAAATCTTTGATTAGTTGTTCAGAAGGTATCTAGTAGGATAAAATGATTATCAGTAGAAACCAGATCATTTCAGACTTCATCTCAGTTCTGAAACAGAATAGAGAGTAATGTACAAAGTACTAACAATTTTAAAATTATTCTTGATGTACATTATTGTCAATCTAGTTTCTTAGGAGAATTATGCTTCAATTAAAAATAGTCAGCTAGTTTTCAAGACTGTTGTTATATTCACAGTGTTTGAGAATTTTTCTTAATGACCTGTACTATTTTTAATATGTACTACTGTGGTGCGTGCTAATTATATTGATATAAGTAGTATACGACGCGAGTTAAAAACGTAATGTCTGGCAGCAGAAGATGGGGGAAGATCAAGAAAAGAAGAGCGGGAACACAAAGCAATTTGTAGGAAAACGCATGAACAATGAAATGTGAAACAATGGAATGATGTTTGCAACAGAAACAGTGCGGTTTGATATGATGAATTGATATTTTGCAGATTAACGATTTACTACATGGTGTTTCTATTTACCGAGTAACTCTGTAATTTTGTGCTAAATACAGTCGGTTGTCCCCACCCGTGTTCTGTTCACTACACTATAATTTCACAACGAAAGACATATCCTGATTTCAAATTCTACTCACAATCCCAATATATAATTGAACTTCATAAAATTGTTCTTCTGCTATTTCAATAAAAAAGTACAGAGATGAAGTTTGAAAAAAAAGATTTCATCAACTGTAAACAACCTCACAGTTATTGAATATCAGAGAGTACTGAACAGTTATTTCAATATATTACAGAATTCGTTAGAAGTGGGCGATTCAATCGGAGATCGAACTCAAAAGAGAGGAAGGTACTCTTGAGGAACAAGTTTGAAACTTAAATATTTATCTTTCCAGCTTCCGTTACTAAATAACATGATCTATTCATTCTACTTGAGTCGTATTTTGACCTTGTTGATTATTCGCTTATCAATCTTGACTGTTTTTATATAGGTGCGTAGGTGTGTGCACATTTCGTACCCCATTACTCATCACATTTCTGTAACTTATTTTTATGTGACTATAAATATAGATTAACTCTTGACTAAACGGAGTTGGCTTACCCGCTATCTCCACTGTGCGTCGTTTCGATTCTCTCTATTCCATTCACTTCATATACAAAATATATTCAATGTATTCAAAAGTCCATTCTCGTTATTTGACTTATTTAATTCCATTATTGACTAACGCGATTTAAGTCGATGATTATATACGAGAATAGGCAATGTATATATTTCGACAGCAATAATTCAATAACAATCATACATACGATCTACTTGGAGTCAGATCCCGGGCTACTAAAGTGGAGGACCCGTCGACAACATCGTACAATCTAATTGATGTCAAAATAATGGGTTCCACTAAAGGCTAATTCTCAAAATACAAATCTTATCATTTTAAAACTGATTCCACTGTAACAGTATTGTCCAAATCGATCATGCGAATTACGTTTGCCTTACTTTCTAAGCTATTTCATATAAGTTGGTCTATATATATATATATATATTTTTCTTTAATATGTAACTTTTAGTGTATACCTTGAAGTTCAGTTTGCTTTATTTTTTCCATGTTACCGTATACATGTCGTCCAGGCGACCAAACAAATCTCAAAAATACAACAGATTACTGACTGATAATAATAATAATAATAATAATAATAATAATAATAATAATAATTGTCATAGAGATTGTGAATGTCTTTTTTTTCTGGAGATTTCTTCTCAATAATACCGCTAATTTTTTAAGTATTCAAATGTAAGGAAGAAAATTGTTGAAAGAATCTTATCTTTATATAAATATTACAAGATATTCTTAACAAAATATAACTGTTCGAAAACGTTTACATCAGTGAAGAGAATATGATTCATGAAATAGTTAAATGAAGCTTTCATAGTTAGTAATCAGTTAGTAACTAGTTAGCAATAGTTTGAAAACATTATCTGGCAATATCTTGGTAATTAGTACAAGAGTTGGTGAGGATAGTTTATATTAATTTAATTGATTGAAGTTAGACATTTAAACTACATTGTGGTTACTCAGTTGTTTGATGGTTAAACACCAGATACGAGATCTGAATGTTCTGATTTTATCTCTGGCAGTTGGTTTATTGTTTGACTTGTAACATGTGTGTCCTGTTAATGTATACGCAATGATACTGCCAATTAGAGAGCAGTGAATTATCGATCGGATCAACGACGCATAAAATCCGTGAGAACAGTCTAGAGCCCCTATCGGCCCTGCTTCCTGCCTAGCCCAGCCAGTTAAGTCCGGAACAACAACTTTAGCCTCTGTGATATGAATCATTTATTTAAAACATACTCGATTTATATACCAACCAAACAGACCACATCGTACCAATAAAATAGGAAACAACATTTGTACGAGATCTAGTCTAATATGGCTGTGAATGTGGAAGCTAGTAATTAATAGACAGGGCATAATTCGATAATGGTAAGCCGTATAATAATGATTCATAGGTCACAATAAAGCTTATAATAAGAGGGACATGAATATGAACAGGTTAGTTAGTTAACAATCATACAACAAAAATCTACGCATAGTATTGATCCATAGATGGATCCCGAAATTTAACATTCATTATGCTTACCGAGTCATAACATTTATATACATCATTTGGGTAATCCTATATTAAGATGAAATATCTATCCAATGACATTTCTAATTTCTAGTAATTTTCTAGATGAAATCATTCAATGATTTACACTTCAAAATTTTGAATCGTGTTTTTCTATACAAACTGGGATTACAGAACTAACTGTTGAAGTTTGTTAGACTGAACTTCTTTAATGATCCATTAGGTATTCTCACCATTTTACTATCAAGAGAGCGTACTTATAGTCTGTCTCTTACTTTAGGAGTTAATTTCCAGATGATAATTGTTGAAAGTTTTTAGAATATGATGAGATCACATTTATTATCCATGCACATTTTATACAGGATCAAGCTGTAAATAAGTGATTTTAATAGAATTTTTTTGCTAAGTAAACCATACTACATTATTAATGAATTCGATTCAAAGACATATCGTCATTGAACAATCCACAGTAAAAAGTTATCTATACGAGGCTAGAGATGGATAGAATAAAGCTATTTGAAATAATTCGCAAATAGTATTAGAAGGCTGAAAACTAACTTTTCTGTCTAAAGCTGTGTCGGCGGTTAAATGCCGTCTACCTTAATAACAGAAATGAAGTGCAATTAATCTTCCTTTTTAAGTTCTTCAGTGAAATCACGTTGAACTAATTTTTACGAATTAACTTCATGTTTTTCTTAATGAATCGTTATCAGCTTATTTCCAATATTCTAAAAGTATTATTTCAATTACAATGGTTTTTTGTCAACCATGATTAGAAATTCCATTGTCATGAAAAAACAATGGAAGATGATCGCATAACATTGTAGATTGATTGGAATTAAACAAATGCCTCATTGAATGCCGGCTCATTGGTCAAGAGCTAAAGCGTTAGTGCACGATATCGAAGGTCCCAAGGTCGATTTTCGCGTGCAGGCTCGTGAGTGGAGACTGCAAAATAGTTTTGTTTTAACGCTCGGTTATACTTAGTCTAATGTTATAACGGTTGGGTTTACACGTTTACACGTATGGGATGTTAATTTACCTTAGACGAATATCTACACTAGATTCCCTCTCAGTGTCTATTCTACAGGACTTCAACACAACTCAGATTAAGAACACGTGATTAGCCTGACTAGAACGTAAATATATTTCCACACCAAAACCCGACAAAATCCAACAACAATAAACAATTAACAATAAGATATATAAGGATAGGGGAATATATAACTCATTTGACACCTGTCAGACTATCTATATGTTTGACTAAGCAGACAACTAATCATTATCATTCTCGCACACACATCAAGTTTCATACTAGAACGAAACGGTTGTCCAGTGTTTCCAGGTTTTCAGTGGTGGTCTAAAATTGGTTTGTTCATAACTGTAATGAACTTAGTTATTTTCTAATGAACACTTCATTTCTTTAATTTTATAAAAATGTTAATATTTAAATGTAAAATTGATAGTTGGTTTAAACAGCTAGTCCATGCTGCACAATTTAGCGATTGTTCGGATTAAATACCTCAATAAATAACCCTTTAGATATTTAAAGTGAAAGGTACTGAATTTGAGTCACATGGTAAATCTATCTGACAAGCTCTAAATAGTATGAAATGAGGTTTTGGGATTTCAGTTCTAGCCACTATTTAGACTTATGTAAAAGTAATTGTTTTCGCTCAATTTAAATTTATGTAAGAAGTCTATTGCATGAAAAGGATCAGTTCTCATGATCTTGGAGAGTAATCATAAGGACATTTTAAATGAATAAATGTCTTAAAATGAAGGTGTTTTAATGAAAGAAATGTTTGTTTCGGATCATCTTAGATCCATTTTAACATTTGATGACTTGATATAAATGAATGTTTTTATTTTTAACAGTTGTTCAGTAATAATAAACAGTTTAGAATAGTTCTGTAGTTGCAAGAAGTTGACCGAACACCATTCATTCCAATGGTTTGTTTGTAGTTTCAATGATATTTATAAAATGTTTTAACACTAAAGTATAACTAAACTATTTGTTTTTGCTATGGAAACTATTGAATTTACTAATTATAAACTAGACATTATGATTGATGAATGCGGATAATCATGTTCTGAACAACTGGTCACTATTAGTTGAATAATACTTGATTAATTAAGAAGTTGTGTATGAAAATGTTCGGCTGAAAAAAAAAACGAAATCCCTATTTCAATAGTTAAGATCATGAGTCAATTGAGGCTAGACCGCCGTGAAAAACCTGGAAGCACTGGATAGCCGTTTCGTCCTATTGTAGGACTCCTCAGCAATCTACTGCTTCTAGGTTTTCCATGATGGTCTAGCTTCAATTGACTCATGATTTCAACCATTGAAATTACTATAATATCCACAAAAATCCTTCTGATAAAAATCCCTATTTGTTAAAAACCTTATCAAACTATATAAATGTTATGTAATGCAGAATAAATCATACAACTAAAAGACCATTTCGCTATTGTTAGAACTACTCTTTCCTATCTGAACAATATTGAACCCTAAAAATGTTCTTTTATTTTACTGTATTTGATACTATTGTATATTATATTACATAAGATCATCATTGTGAACCGATTAACCTTATTTATTAATATATTGGTTAACTTCAATTGTTTATTTTGTCTAATAATTAGAACTGAATATTTATTTTATATCCACCATTTAATTTTATAGATGTTTACAAAGCTATTACTGTTGAAGAATGTTATATGATAGACAGGATAAAATCTGGTCAAAGAAGTGAAGATTCAAAGGAAACTCTTTTATTATACAAAGGGTATGTAAATCGGCATATATATATGTCCGTATATAAAAAGACAAAGAGATATGTAGAGATATAAATGTGACATTGCTAGTTGACAATCTCTAAGTGTTTCACATCAATAGTATATATATTTATATATCAAAATAGAGTCAAATGAAAAGTTTTCATACAATAATATCCGGATAGGCGTTAGGTGTATTATTTGTAAAACTCGTGAACTGATTAGATATGTATATTCTTATATACTACAGAAGGATAATCAGTGTTGTTTAGGTTGTGAATGTGTAATTGATGTTCTTAGACGAATTGGTTTATGGACATTTGATGTATATTTATTCATACTAAATTAATGATAGAAGACGACAGAATTCGACTGCATGAATCAATTGATATGACAGAGTGAACGGTTAGTAAATTGTTAGTATTCTTTTCTAGGAAAATATTATTAGTAAAAGCTAAGCAATTTTCTTGTTGCATGGCATTCAAACCGATTGGCACTCAATATACATGTTACGATAAATCGGATCTACCAAATCATACGTAAGATCTCAATTGTTCACATAGTTAGAGATTGACTAAACAGAACAACTAACTTGGATACAAAGACAAATGGATTTAACAACACTTCTAAGAACAAATAATCATGAATCAGGCCAGGCATGGTTTCATTGTTATTTGTTTAAGCCTGTAATGCATTGAGTTATTGTATATTGGTTTTAGTATTTTGGGATCTGGCTATCAAGCCTAATTCATTCTGATCACATAAAGATTAATGAAATTTTACTACACGGGCATGCTTTTCGAATAATTGACAGTTGTGTACTAGTCACAAGTTCACTGAAAAAATCCAAGATCTTTGAACCGTTGACAATAATGTGTGAATGACACCGTTAACAGGAAGCAGTTTTACTCTTGAAGTCAGGAGTCTATTCGCATTAATGAAAAGTATACTACATCCTTTACATGATTACGGCAGAATATGATATACAACTAACGGCACTCGAACGTGTAAAACCCCACATTCACAAATCAGACGATGGAAGAAGCAAGGGAAGTGATTATTGGGTAGGAATTAGAAACGTACAGAAAAAATTATTATTCATAGTTATTAGCATTGGCTGTAACATCATTATGATTCAGCCAATCAGCAAGGAGGTAAGTTATACTATTGCCCAAACGTACCACGACACGTTGATATTCTAGAAGGCTCTGCCAGGAATGAAATTTCTTCGGTTTCTTTAGAGCATCTGGAGGCTCCATTATACTTCTATAAGTCGTATCAACAAAGTTTGACGAAAGTATACCATATCTCTGTTCTCAGAGCTTCGTTAAATAATTTCTATTCATAACTAAATCAATCTTCCAGGTTATTTTCCCCTATTTGTTCTCTGAACTACTAATGCATTTTAATATTGAGCTTACACTTTATAAGCCAATCGAAATCTAGATAGTATATCTTGGTTTTCTGACTGGAACTCCACTATTGAAGTTAACTATCATACGCTTAATAAATGTCCTTATCATATAATTTGTCAACTCTTTAAAAAAGGATTTCATATGCTCAGAATTAGTATATTATGTCATCACTGAGTGAAACTAACGCAAATCCAAATACATGAATCGATTTGATCTGTTGAGTTGTTTATGAGTTTTTTTTTCTTTGTTTTTGTTGTTGTTTTGACTTTAAGGCCGGCTAGTTATCACTTAATTTATTCGCCAATCAAAATACGACTTATTCAAACTTAGTACTGTGCTAAACCAATATCGTTCGACCAGTATAAGCAGCATAGAGTCCTTATTGGTCCTTTGTTCACCTAACCCTACCTGTTGGATCCAGAACACTGATAACAGCTTCCACTATGCGAATAATTTATTTCGAACATACTTAGTTTATATACCAGAAAATAAACCACATTACATCATAAATTAGGAAATAACATTTATACAAAATCAAGTCATAATGTGGTTACGAACGTGAGAGACTGTAATCAATAAACTGAACATAATTTAAGAACAGCAAATTGTAGTAATAATAATAATAATCTATAGGTCAAAATGAAGCTTACAATAAGAGGAATATATATATATATATATATATATATATATATATATATATATATATATATATATATATATATATATATATATATATATATAAGTCCACTATTAGTTCTCAGAAGTTGCATACAATTAGTTCCCTTTATGAACTTAAATAGAGCCAGAACAAATATTGATGCAGAATCGTCTGCTGTTACGGGTATGAGGGCTGATATCACTTACCGGCTGCCCACACCATGGAAGGGTATTTCTTGAGGAACCTGAAAACGAAAATGGATTAGTGTTGGTCTTAAAGACCTGGGAGCGTGACCGCAGAGCCCAAGGGGCAACTACTTGAGGCCAGTCGCGCACGGCCTTTTCGTGGATGGTTTTTAATATGTTAGCTCCGTTCTTCAAAGGGCCTTACCGCCGGAGAAGGCAGCATCGCCGAAGATGCTGGTTGTCCGAGGGAAACACCTTACTGCTGCCACACCCCTCTACAGTCAGCAGTACGACTTCGCCCTCAGACCTTGAGTTGCTGCTTTTAGTCTTACTGTTCTCCAATCGACCTGCCTGGCATGATAGAACCTACAGGAGCATATGTTCCAGCCAATATAGCTCGATTGGGTCATCACGATAGGCAAGCCCGACCACCGCGTCAAGGTAGCAGTTTCGGTCAGGATTGATGCAGAATAATATGAATTCATTATATATTGTGGTTTCTCACCCGCTGTTTCCAACCAAATATGTGTTAGGATTTTAAATAGAGGTAAGAAATAGTATGAAACAATTGACATAAGTGAATGTAAAGAATTGGAGTGACAAAGGTGATCAATAATAGAATGGAGTTCAGAGACAGATAATATAAATTGTGTGATAATTTTAGAAGTAATAAAGGGTTTACATAAGATTCATGGAATTAAAAACCTATAAGATGGGTTACGTAATAACTGAGTAGAATTTGAAGAGTTCACATAATTTAAAAGAATTAAATGAATTAAAATGTATAAGTGAATAGGTGGTTTAAGAATTCGGTAATGAAAGAGAAATATAACACAAACTAAACATTAACAAAAAAAAAAACTAACGACCAAATACATACTCGTAATTTAATCTTCGCTAGGATATAACAACTTACTCGCTTACTTACTTACGCCTGTTACTTCTCGTGGACGAATATCGGCCACCTACCACTACTCTCCATCCAACCCTGTTCTGGTCAATGCTTTCCAACTCTTTTCAGTTCTTATTCATCCTTTTCATATCTTCTTCTATTACCCGACATAATATGTTCTTTGATCTTCCTCTTTAGGTCATGCCTCATATAACAACTATTACATAATAATATCTCTTATCATCATTTATTTATTTATTTTTCATTCCTTTTTGTTTTGTTTAAATGTTTCCTATCATCATTCATTCAAGTTGTCCAATGTTCAAATCAAATTTAAACAATCAATCAATAACTGGATTTAATTTTCAAATGAATCAATATGACAATGAAAAAGTATTCATATTTCAACCGAATAATCATAATAATAATTTATATCAATTACAAACTGGTTTATTTCATCTTTATTTAAATAAACAATCAATAATTGATTTAGATATAACACAATCAATCAATAAAACAAACAAAATGATAAAACCAAATATCGAAAAAATCAATAAAAATGTTACAATGATTAATAATAAATCAATGAAATTAATAAATAAACCAATGAATTTATTGGATGATATATATAAAGAAAAATTAAATGAAATTGGATATAGAATACATGAATTAAAATTTACTTGTATATTTCGTATATGTAAACAATTAGCATGGTGTTCATGGGTAAGTTTGATTATGAGTGAGGTTGTTTTGCTTTTTTTTTAATGTCTGTATGTCTATTACATCTATGAAATTAGATGATATACATAAGTTGTAAGTAATTAGCCTTAGAAATATTACTCGCAACTGTGGGGATCATTGAGTAAGTAATAAACGGAGGGTAGACGTAGGGTGGTAAATCAGTCGGTGAAGTTGTGAATCTTTATCGACTGACATGGTTGAGTCACGTGTTACATATACCTGAACACCGATTATCACGACGTGTAATGCTAACTAGTGTTGGGGATGGTTAGAAGAAAGTTTTTTTGGGGGGAAATCAAAATGTGGCATCAGTCTTTGAAGTCACTAACTTCTAGTCTAAGCCATATTGGTAGATGCAGACTACTTGGTTGACTATCGTAATCAATGGTTGGAGACTCTGTGTGACATGGTTCAGAATCTATCACAATGGTGTCGGTATATACACTCTCTGTCTTCCCTTAAACTGTGAGGTGGAAATTACACTATACTTTACCTTCAACGAACTAATTCTTTCTTCCTTTTATATATTACCACCATTGAATTAACTGCCTCTATGAATTCGATGTCATACTTGTGACTTTTTAGCTGAATGTACCTAGATTATATTGTTGATATTCATTCCGTGACTCAAACTCGGTGGCTATCGCTTTAAATCCCAATTCATAAATCTACTTAGTCAAAATGAACACTGACTAGTCCAATAAAAAATGAATTCGAATTCAGTGATCAGTTGCAATGTAATCTTAGTAGCTAACACTGAGCTTTAGTTTAAGGTTCAACAATAACACTAAAATACAATTTCATACATCTCATAAATCACACACATGACAAAAAAGCATATATCCTGGATTTCATTGCTAAATCCTATTTAGAAATAAAACGAAATAGTTTATTCAATCGATGATAAGGTAACCAAATACCTTCTGATATTAATTAACATATGCTCACTAGTGACTGGTTTCAAGAGGTTTTTCCTCAAGTTCTAGTAAGAAGCAGTGATCAGTGACGTTCAATCGGGTCTGTTGTGAGATAGTAACTCAATGAAGACAATGGTAGATGTGTCGCTTAATTTCATGGATTAGTTGAAGTTAGACATTAACATCATTGGATGCCGGCCAGTTCAATGGTCTAGTGATTAAGTGTTCGCGTACGAGACTGATCGTTCCTGTGTACGAATCTCGCAAGGTGGGATAGTGGATGCGCACTGTTCAGGAGTTGGTCGTCCAATACTTCAATTCATTCATGATTTCAACGATTAAAATTACTATAATATCCATAAAACCCCTTTTGATAATAAAAGTATGACTAAAATCTTTACATGATTGTAAAGATTTTATGGATTTACGGCGGAATTTTTAAAAATGATAGTTGATATCAACAATTAGGATTAATTTATGAAAGTTTGTCCTAATACAATCTGAATTTTGATAAACTCCAAGGATTTACTTAAATTTATTGTGTGTGTGTGTGTGCGCGTTTTCTTTCTGTTGTAATAAAACACAGTATCTGAGTGTTTCATTAATTAAAAATGATAATAAATGACAGTATATAAATCTATAGAAAGGGAGAAATAGAGCAAGAGGAGGGGGTGGGATTCGAATAAGTTTATATCATTATTTATTTATTTATTTATTTAGGCATGTCTATACTCTGTATACTAATTTAAATTAATGTATACCCAAAAGTATTGTCTCTATATACATATATCTGGGGGGGGGGGTTATTAAACAATAATTAACTTACTAATACTACTATCATCATCCTTAGTTTAGAAAACTTTATGTCACGTAATAATAATTATCAATGAAACTACGGAAAATGATCTAAAATGTGATCTGTATCTATCTGTCTGTGTCTGTATACTATGTGTGTGTTTGTGTGTGATTTGTGATCTGTGATCTAGAGTACTTTGTCGTTAACTGAGAATGTGGTTGATTTGAAAAACGAAACAAAAAAAATTGTATTTATTTATGTATTCAACTATGTATATTTTTTTTTAAATTTTCTCATGTTCTAATATGATAGACAAAATTAATTAAACATGAAATATATATGACTGGAAGAACAAAAACAAACAAACGAACAAACAAACAGATAAATAAACAACTGATCAAATTCATTTCATAGATCAGTACTCAAAAGGCATATCAACAAGATTTGGCTAATAACTATATATAACATAATTATCATGTCATTAGAAATAAAGAATAAATCATTTTTACTATCTGAGTTTGTATTTGTCCATATTTACTATGGAGAACCTTCAATAATTAATATTGTATAATTATTCAAGTCACTATTTCTTTTTTCTTATTTCATCAGCTCATATGAAATTAATGATAATGAAGAACTGAGTTGAGTCTAGTCTCCATGATAGATGTTCATTTATTATGTTACTTAATAAACAAATCATCTTGTTTGAATTTTGATATTTTGCAAGAGAGATTTAACGTAACATTGTAGTTAGTAGACTGATTAATGGATATAAGGTTAATGAATAATGTCTATACATATTTAAAACAATTAGTCCCTTTGATAAATTTCGATAATGATATTAGAAGACGAAGATTATCTTCGTCTTCTATACATATTAGAAAACATAAATAAATAAAATATTTGTAATATTCTAAAATTAGATTTTCTGACGTTTCGTGATTCAGTGTAAGCCACTTCTTCAGAGAACAATGAACCAAATCAAAATTAATACAAGTTCAGATCGTATAACGGAACAACAAGAATCTAATTTTTCTACTCACTAAGATGTTACAAACATTATTTATCTATGTCAATCTATCCAATGCTCAATTTATTCAAAATTTCAAGTCAAACCTTAGTAACGATACATATTAGAAAAGTTATTTATTTTACTATGCTATTGGAATTTCATGAAATCAGAAGTCATTTTTCTTGTATGAGTTCATTAGTTAGATAATTTGGGAGGAATGTCGAATTTTCAACATTCTTAGTAGAATCTACTTAATATAAAATAATCATGAGAGCTTTAAACGTTAAAGGATTTCTATGATAGAATAATTAAAGATTGAAGATGTAGAATTTAATCATTCAATTCATGAGCTGATTATACCTAGACCACCATTGGAAAACTGGAAGCACTAGAAAGCTGTTTTGTCCTAGTACGAAACTCATCAGCAGTGCGCATTCACGGTCCGGTACGCATGTCTCGAATCTAGGACCCTCTGTGCCGCGCGTGTACCCTTAAACTCTGGACCATTGAGCCGCTGTCCATCGGTGTTAATGTCTTACTTCAACCAGTCCACGATATTGCGCACTGTCCACTGAGTAACTTCGGTGAGTATCTGCCTCGCAACAGACCCGGTCGAACTCCACTGGTCACTGAGATCGTGGATGCATATTTCTGAAGAATCCGTTATTAGAACAAAACGGTCGTCCACTACTTCCATATATTTTATGATGGTCTAGCTTTAATCAACTCATGAATTTAATTATTAAATTATTACAACCTCTAAAAACCTTCATTCTGATGTAGAAAGGAAAAATACGAGCATAAAAACATTATTTTTTATTTGATCTAAAATTTGTTAGATCATATTCAGTTCATAAAAATATTATTATGTTCTCATCACTGAACAATCATTTGTCCCGAGAAAAAACACTCATCGTGGATAGATATTAAAAAAATATGGCAGACGAACAGTGTTCGTTGACAATCTTCTTGTCTAGATTTCGAAATCAACATATTAAAGGATTTCATATTTTAATACATCACACAGACTTTACTTAAAATTTCTTCCTCGTTTTATCTTATCTCCTCTTTCATAATATATGCTATTCTTCTATATAATTTTAAATATTCCATAAATCGAGAAGATAATCAAGATCAGCTAAATTCAATAGTAAATTAAAGAAATTCGTTTACTCATTTTTATTCATTACTGTCCAATTAGTTAATTCTAGTCATATCAATGAAAAAGTAATAAAGTTAGTTATATAGGTTTACAAGAAACTCTAACCTAGGTAAACAACTTTCTAAACTACAAATTAAAAGTCAACTGTAGAAACTTAGAACTTATAACTCGATGAAAGCCTTAATACCTAGTACATAAATATAAGCTCAATACTATACTAGTGTTATTATTATTATTGCTTCACTTACTACTACTACTACTTATATCCATAGAAGTAGCATATAACGGTGGTCAGGCATGGAATGTATTTCAGTAGAAGGTCAATAAGGAAAGAACGGGAACCGAACGCAATTAGTATGAAAATGAATGAACAGTAAAATCTGAGACGATTGATTGATATTTTGCAAATTGACTATTTACTATATAGTTCTCAGATTTTATCGAAGTGATCTGTAATTTCGTATTCAAATACATTCGATTGTCCCCACTTATGTCCTTGTTCACTACATTACTACTACTACTACGAAGACGACGACTACGACGATGACGTCGACTACCCACACTACTACTACTATCTATCTATCTATCTATCTATCTATCTTTACTAATCTTGAATAGACAGAGTTAATGCGTACCGACAATCAGATCATCATTAATTACATGCATTTATTTTCGATAGAAAGGAAAAAAAACAAACAAACATTTTAACAATTCCCAATTTTATTCATTACAAATCGATAAATAGATTCATTTGCATAAGATTAATGATTTAAAATATATAAATCAAATTAAAGTAACCGTGTAAAAATTGAATTTTGATTCTAATATACATTTAGAAATTAAATTAAATTGAATTAAATTATTAATTCAATGTTAAACACATTAAATATATATATATATATATGATTTATTTCAATGAAATAAACCCAATTAAATATCCGGTAACTATTCTATGACAACTTAGTTCATTTCAAAGTTGAACAATCCAAACTCAAAACATTTCTATGTTATAAAGAATAGAATTGGGAAATAGATTCCTTTTTTACCCATCTGACCTTTAGGTTTCATATTTATTCCGATTGTATTCAAATACATTTCTGATTCATTGTAAACTATTTTTTATAATTAAAACACGAATCTCAGCGAAGGGATCTCTTTTCAACGAATTTATTATCAAGCTGTACAATCGTATATATATGAAAATTTTGTTTTTGTAAAAGTACTAATTCCGTGAGGAAAAGTGAACCAGTTCACCTGCACTTGTGGAGCAAGGTTCATTGGTCGTAGCCACCGAACGCTTTCAACTCGGATACAGGAACACATTCCAGCTTGGTTCTATAAGGGTGAAAGGAAAGCAGTTAGGAGTTCTATACTTGAACACCTATTCGACTATAACCATTCTACAGATCCACAAATTGACTTTAAGGTTGTTTATATGATTCGTTCAAATCTATCCAGATTTCTTCGTATCCAACTCTTAAAAATAGCTGAAGCTCTTACCATCCAGGAGCTTAAATCAGAACTATACGTACAAAAGAAGTACGTCTTATCCTTTTCGTTACCTTGGCCTTAATTGTTTTGATTATCCTATTATTATTATTACTGCATTCTCCCCTTTACTTATGTCTTATATTCTGATTGTTTTATTCGTAAATACTCGTCATATCACTTTATTTATTTTTTACACCTCTATGACCTTTAATTATTATATCAAAAACATTTTAATCATTTTAATCATCTTATTATATTCACCAAATCCATTGTTATTGTTATTATTCATATTACGTAATGTAGTATTATAACCCTTTTTTTATTAACTGTGTTCACATTTCCTCACGGAATTAGTACTTTTACAAAAACAAAGAAATTTTCATATATATACGATTGTACAGCTTGATAATAAATTCGTTGAAAAGAGATCTCTTTGCTGAAATTCCTGTTTTATTTTTTATAAACAAAAACGTCATTTTAAAATTGATCCCCGGTAACTAACGAGTGTACTTTAAATGATGTATTATTACTCACCTATATAGTTGATACTTTCTCATGATGATAGTTGTTATTAAAATATATTTAAGCATTACTTGTTTATTTACTTAGTTACATTTTATGGAGAATAAACGTACGAACAACATTCTCTAATCTATTCTATTTGGGAGAATCATTTTTGATGTCATTCTTCAATAAAAAAATTTTTTCGTGATCATATTTTCAAAATGGGTTTTGTGGAGATATTTAGAAATTTCACTGGTTGAAATCATGAGTCAATTGAAGCTAGACCACCATGAAGAACCTGAAAGCACTGGACGGCCGTTTCGTCCAAGTATGGGACTCCTCCGCAGTGCGCATCCATGATCCAGGTCTGTTATGAGATAGTAACTCAGTGAAGACAATGGTGTACGGTGGCGCAACTTCGTGGATTGGTTGAAGTTAGACATTAGCATAGATGGACAGCGGCTCAAAGGTCTAGAGTTTAAGGGTACACGCGCGGCACAGAGGGTCCTGGATTCGAGACATGCGTATATATTTCTAAATAAATTGATTATTATTTTTTTGAAAAGTACATCATTTGTAAATTAAGGTTTCGAAAGGTTAACTACAATTCATTTGTTCAATATTCATTATATGTTTAATCATTTTTTTCCTATTTTCAAACAATTAAAAAGTAAATCAAATCTAAATGTCATAGTGATATAATAGTTAAAAGGAAAACTTTATTTGAAATAAATAGCCATAGAAAACACGATCTTTCTTTTATTGAAGCGAAAGAACATAAAGAAAATTTTATGAGATTTGAAAAATATCAGAAGTGGATGATTTAAGTAGTAGTAGCAGTAGTAGTATTAGTAGTGGTAGAAGTAGTAGTATTAGTAGTAGTAGTAGTAGTAGTAGTAGTAGTGGTAGAAGTAGTAATAGTAGTATAAATATAATTAATGTCCAACAACATATATACACACATAGAGTAATATACATTTAAGCCTACATAGTGATACATTCAACCACAATTGTTCACCTAACACTTAGTATAAATAAATATGACAAATTACGTTAAAAAAAAGGGTGGGTGGGTGGGTGGAAACTGACGCGAACACAAAATAGTGATATGATAAGAAAAATTTACATTGATGATAACTTTTGAAAATATTTACGATAGAATATCTCTACAACACACTTACACACACAAACACACTTACACAGAGATAAACATAACCTACTCACGGACAGTTATATAAATACACGTATATAAACAATGAAAATTTAAACAAGAATAAAAGAGATATATACAGTTAGTGATAAAGAGAGTGTACAATAAATAAAAAAAACAGAAGAGGAGTAAAAGTAAAACATGAATATTAGGCAATAGTGAAGAGGATGCAAAGTGATGGAGTATATATATATATATTTATTTGGCAGTTATATAGTACAACCAGTTTACAAAAGTCTAATCTATAAATAGCGGTATATATATATTTCAACA